CCTGACCTGCAGCCCCCCGAGGTCCCGGCGTTCCGGGGAGGGCAACAGACAGGGGGTGCTCCTGGCAGGACGTCCTCCTTCGGGCATGACATCAAAAACTGTCAATTAAGCCCTTCCTCTACCTCAGAGCCCTAAGTGTCAGTGCGGCGGCGCGAGGAGGCCGCGGGGCTGTCCCTAACAAAAGCACGATTGCTGCTTCTCACACAAACAAGCCCAGAGCGAGGCAGGCAAGGACTTGGTGTGGCGGTTCCTCCGCCGGGAACTCAAAGGCCCTTTGTCTTCTGATTTCCCCACCGCACACGAAGGACAAGTCTAGGTGTCAACATGTGCCTCACGCTCCAAGATGGCGCCGCCAGCCCCGGCCATCACACCTGAGGTTCAAGGAAGTGGGAAGAAGTGAGGGAGAAGGAAAAAGAAGGCAAAGGGTCGGGCCCCAGGGCTGAGACTGGAAGACCCACCTCCACCTCCCACCCACTTAGAGTTCATTGTTCACCCCTATCTGCAAGAGACGCTTTCCAAAGCAGTCTCTCTGTATAGAGCACCTGCCCCCAATAGCAGAGAGGTCCCGGCCATGCCAGGACAGGGGGGGAAGAGCCGCGGAACGCTGGCTTGCGGGGAGTGACAATTCTGGAAGCGAGTTAACGGCCTGCCATCGCTGCATGACTTAACCTACAAAAGATTCCGGGGCCTTCTGTTCCACGGGTAATGATCTCCACCGTGGTGCGTGTTCCAGGCGTGTGCAGATGAGCTCAGCCCTGTGAGGCAGGCTGGATGGTTAATCCACTCACTACGTAGGGAAACCAAGGCATAGAGAGGTAAAGTCCTGGGCCCAAGGCCCCACAGCAAGAGTTTCTGAGTGTTGGAATGCTGGGTACTCTTGATTTCTGTCTTTGGTGTTGTTTTCGTTGGGGCCCATCACCGGGGCTTGAGCTCAGGGCCTGGGCGCTGTCCCCGAGCTGTTTCTCTCAAGGCTGGTGCTCTACCACCCGAGCCACATGGCCGCCACTTTCAGTGTTTTGGTGGTTACTTGGAGAAGAGAGTCTCATAGACTTTCCCACGCGGGGTGGCTGGGAACCCTGAGCCTCAGCTCCCAGCCTCCTGTGTAGCTGGGGTTACAGGGAGCACCGCCAGTGCCCGGCCTGGCTGTATTTGTCTTTGTGACTGCTCCATAGTCCCCCGCCCTCTGTCCAGGTCCACCTGGGACTTGGCAAATGAAATAAGACAACACCTCCTGGGGGTTCCAGATGCCTGCCTGTCCCCCCATCCCGAAGGCTCCCCCAGGAGGGCTCCCCACCTTCCCCCTCCCTTCCCCCCCCAGCCTCACCAGCTGCAGCCCACGCCAGGCTGGCGCCCTCTGCCCTGCAGTCTGGGCTTCCCAGAGAACTCTCCCTCCCTTGGACCGCAGCTCTCCCGGCCCCCTCCCGCCAGCCCTGCTCCTCTTCCTGCCTGGCGAAGGCTGCCATGGCCTGAGGCCCTAGGTCAGGCCTCGGTGCTCCCTCACCCACTGCACTGCAACTCCTCCCCAGGGCCGAGGGGCCGGCTGCATTCGTCAACAGACTTATCAAGGACTTTCTGGGTGCCAGGCCCTGGCAGGGATATCCACTCGCTCATCCTCAAAACAACCTCCCTCGGCCTTGCCCTGGCCTGGCGCTGAGGCCCAGCCACCTCCCGCCCTCCTCTCCCGGCCCCACCCACCCCTCCCAGGGTCTCAGCTCAGGCTGCCCCAGGGCCTTTGCACCTGCCATCCCTGCCACTGGGGTCACCCCAATGGTAGGTAGCGCTTCTACCACTCCTCTGCTTCGTGCTCTTCAAGACCCGTATCTCAACTGAAGTGGCTCGGCTGTCTGCGGCTGCCCACCTCCTGTCTCCCCCTTGAACGGCGGTGAGGGGGACAGGGCTGCCTCGGCCCCAGGGCTGCTGCCTGGCCTCTCGGTCTCCGGGTTCCACTGCTGTCTGCCCCCATGAGCAGCCGGGACTGGAGAGAGGCGCCTGAGCCGAGGGCACGGAGGGCCCTGGGTTCAAATCCCTCCCGGGGGCTCTCTGAGCAGGGAATTCCCATAGCAGGAGATGGCGGCGGGTCAGCCCAGGGAGGGCTTCGCACACGGAGGGGCCTGGGCCCCACAAGGCACTGCCCCCCCCCGTCCCCGCCCCAGGCCGGCCCGAGTCTCCGCTGCCTCAACTCTGTGCCTCAGTCTCCCTATGTGGAGGGCAGCTAGAGGCTCTCCCTTGGCCGGATCTTGTGAAGGACGAAGTCCTCCGAGCACTGCGGGGGGAGGGAGGGAGGTGAGGAGGGAGAGCCGCAGCGGGCGCTGCGCATCCCACAGCTCTCCCCACGGGGCCGGGAGCGATGCCACCTCCAGGCAGCCCTGGGGACTGCCCGCCCTCCCTGGGGACCACCGCCCTCCCTGCCCCACTTTCCTCCTTCTGAGCCACCCGTCACGCTCGGTCCGTGGCGGGATACCTGACGTCCCTCCTGGCCCGGGACCCCACCCAGCACGTAGCAGGTGCTCAATAAACGCTGTGTCAGATAAAGGAAAAGCGGCTGAGTGGGTGGGAGGCCGGGACACCAGCGACCCACGGCGCTGGGGGCCGGCAGGGTGGGCTTGAGCCCCTCGCGCAGGTGAGCGGCCTCCGCCCAGGCCCAGGCCCCACAGACACCCTGGAGGGTCGCGCGCGCGCGCGCGGTGTCCACTCGCCCGGCCGGGGCGGCTGTGGTTGGGGCTCCGCTCACCAGGCCGCAGGTACCGCCAGCGGCCGTCAGGGCGGGCAAGGGACACGGGGCCGGCCCGGCTCGGGGGCGACCCAGTCCCGCATGAGTGTGGGCTTTATGGGTGACTGCCATGTCTGAGGAGCAGACCTGCAGCCCGGCGCCCCGTGGGGGGTGGCACCCACCTGTGACCTCTCCGCCGTCCTCCTGCTCCCGGCACCCCGCAGGGGTCGGCCCTGCTGCCTGCCTCGGGCTCACGGCCAGGCGCCAGGCCAGACTGCGGCGCCCAGCACCCAGCCCAGCACTGGGGGGAGGGGCTGGGGGTGTGCGGGAGGGCCAAGGTGGGGAGAGCCGGGGTCAGAGGTCAGCTGCACATCCCAGAACTCTCCCTGGGGGTGTGGGAACAGACGGAGCCCCGGCCTTGAGCTGAAGCCTCGCTTCTGGAACCCCACGCTGCTCTCTGGGAAATGGCACTGCCTGCCTGGGGCTGGGGCTAAAGGGGTGCAGAGGCCGGGACGACCCCCCTACACACACACACCCAGCCCCCCCTCTGCCCTGGAGAGGAAAATCCCCGGGGCAGAGGAGCTCAGTGCTGGCGCTCACCACTGGGCCAGAGGACGGGCCTGGCCAGCCGTCCAGGGCTGGGAGGACTCCAGGCTGGGGAAAGGGAGGCTGCGCAGGCCCGTCTGTCACCTGCCCCACGCGCCGTCAGCCCCACCCCTCCAGGGGAGGCAGGGGACAGCGCCCCCGGTTCCCACACAAGTTTTGTTGTCCTTTCACAGGGCTGAGAACGGCACCCGGGGCCTTGGCACCCACGAGGCAGGTGCGGAGGCCTGAGCAGCGGCCCTGGCCTGAGCTCTCCCGGTTCTCCAGCCATCCCAGTGGCTGCCCCTGAGACCCCAGGCCGCCCCCGGGCCCTGGTGCGCTGCTCTGTGTTGCCTGGCACCCCGAGTTGCTCAGAGCAAGGGGAACCCATCCAGTGTCCTGGCCACCGAGACCTGCCAACCACAGCCGCCGCTGGGCACCCACCTCCCCCAGGGTCGTCCCGGGCTGAGCTGGGAAGGCCTGGGTTTAGCAGACAGCCGGGGTGAGCGGGCGTGAGCGAGCCCTCCAACACTCACCCCACTGGGAGCGAGGGTGCCAGATGCCAGCAACCAGCAACACATAACAGCAGAGCAAACGCTTATGTAACTGACACCTGTGGCATGCAGGCACCGCTCGCCGTGAATCACTCGGGGTGCTGCCCGGGATGGGGGGGGTGCAGCAAAGAGGACCCGCAAGGGAGGACGGAGGCACCGGGAGCAGGGAAGGGGAGCTGGCCCCTGTGGACAGCCAGGACCAAGTTCAAGGCCAGCCTCAGCCGCTTTTGACTTAGATCGGGCCTGACCCCAATGGGATGGGGGTGGGGTGTCCAGCCCGAGACGGAGAAATATGGGGACCCCCCTCCGGCCTCTACCCCCTGCACTGGCCGGGTCTCTTGCCTGGCTGGACAGAGACCTGCGCGCGCGCGCACACACACACACACACACACACACACACACGCACGCGCGCGCACACACACACACGCGCTGCTTTTAAACACCTGACCCCTCGCGTCCCAGGAGCGTCTGCCTGGCTCGGGACCCCAACCCCGCCTTCCTCCCGGGTCCGGGGCTGACCGGCGCGGCCCAGGCCGGGCCCCGGGGTGGGGTGGGGGGTCCCGGGGCGAGGACCGGCCGGAGCAGCCGAGGCCGGGCGCCCGGCCGGGCCGCGGCAGAGGCGGGGCGGGAAGCAAAAGCAAAAGCAAAACACCACCGACCCAACCCCGCGGCGGGCCGGGCCTCCGGGAGCCGGGCCGGGCCGGGCCGGGCCGAGCGGGGCCCGGAGGCCCGCGGCCGCCCCAAGCCTCGCCCCCCGTCCTGGAAGGAAGTTTGTCGGCGGCGGCGGCGCTGGGGACGCGCGGCAGCACACACACGCGCGTCTGCTCGTAGAAAGAGACGTCTTTATATGATACAAAAACCGCGCGGCCGGCGCGGGCCGGGGCCGGGGCCGGGGCCGGGGCCGGGGCCGCGGGCGGGCGCGCGGGCGGGCGCGCGGGCGGCCGCGGTTACACGTGGGTTGCGTCAGACCCGGCGCCCGATGGCGTCACCGCGCCCGGCGGGCCGAGGGGGGTCCGGCCGGGCAAGGAGGAGGGGGGGCCTCGGCGGGGGGCGCGCGGGGGGCGGCGGCGTCACCCGGCGCCCCTCGCCTCACACGCGCGCGGCCGCGGACCGACCCCCCCCGCGGGGACCCCCACCCCCCCCCCGGGCCGGCGCGCGGCCGGCGAGTCCGGGCCCGGGCGGGCGGGCGCGCGCGCGGCGCTAGCAGTGTCCCGAGGAGGCGAGCAGGGGCTCGGGCAGCTGCTTGAACAAGTTCCGCAGGGTGCTGAGCTCGCGCGACAGCTGCTCCACCTTCTTCTGCAGCCGCTCGTTCTCGGCCGTGAGCTCCAGGACCTTGTGCTGCGTCTCCAGGTTGCGCATCTTGGCCTTGTCGCGGCTCTTGCGCACGGCGATGTTGTTGCGCTCGCGCCGGATCTTGTACTCGTCGCTGTGCTTGTCCACCGCCTTCTTGGCCTTGCCCTTGGCGGCGGCGGGCGGCGCGGCGGGCGGCGCGGCGGCGGCGGGCGCCCCGGGGAAGCAGGCGGCGGCGGCGGCGGCGGCGGGCGGCGCCTTGGCCTCGGCGGGGCTCGGCGTGCCGGGCGGGCTGGACGACGACGACGTGGACAGGCTGCCGCTGCTGCCGCTCGGCACGGCCTGGTAGCCCAGGTAGGCGCGCAGGGCGTAGGGGAAGGCCGCCATGCCCGCGCCGGGCGCCGCGGCCTCGTCCTTGCGCTTGCAGTCCGCGGGCTCGAAGCCCGGCTCCGCCTTGAGCTCGGCGGGCGGCGGCGGCGGCGGCGGGGGCGGCGGCGGCGGCAGCGGCGCGAAGCAGCCGGGGTGCAGCGCGCCCTTGGCGGCGCCCAGGCGGCCGAGGCTCACGTAGCCGAAGTCGGCCGCGCGCTTGGCGCCCTTGCCGCCGCCGTAGTCGTCGGAGAAGAGGTCGGAGAGGAAGTCGTGGTGCGGCCCCGCGGGCGCGGCGGGCGCGGCGGCGGCGGCGGCGGCGGCGTCGAAGGCGTCGGGGCCGGGGCCCAGCGGCTCCAGGTAGGGGCTGAAGTCGATGGCGCGCTCGTGCTCGCCGATGCTGCCCGGCTCGCCGGCGCGGGCGGCGGGGGGCGCGGGGCCGCCGGGGGCCGCCGGGGCCGGCTTGCCGCCGAGCGCTGCAGCCAAGCCGTCGGCCTCGTAGTAGAAGTTGGCCACGTCCATGGGCCTAAAGGCGGGCGGCGGCGGCGGCGGGAGGCGGCGGCATGCCGGGTCCCAGGCCGCCAGGCGTTGCATGAACGCGGGCGCCGGCTCGGGGGCCCCGAGCGGCCCGGCCCGGCCCGGCCCGCGGGCGGCGCGGCCTCGGCCGGCGCGGCTCGGGCTGGGGGCTCGGGGAGGTGGGTGGCTGGGGCTCCGGGCTCCGGGCGGGCGGGCGGGCGGCGGCGGCGGGGGCCGCGGCGGTGCGGGGCTGGCGGGGTCTCGCGGTCCCGGGCGCGGCTCTGACTCGCTAAAGTTTCTCCCGAGCCCGGTTATTTATAAGGCGGCGCCTGGCAACCGCGCGTCACGGCCCGAGGCCGCCCCTGCCCCTCCCGCGGCCGGGAGCGCGCCCGCCGCGGCGCCCGGGACCCCGAGCGGGGGGCGGCGGGGCGGCGGCCTCGCGCCCCGGGGTCCCGGCCGGCCCGGGGGGAAGGGGGCGGCCCCGCGCGCCCCCCCCGGCCCGCCCCCGGCCCGGCCCGGGATTGGGAAGCCGAGGGGGCGGCGCCGCCCCGCCCCCGGGCCGCCCCTTCTGGGCGCGCGGCGTCGGCGGGCCGGGAGGCGGGCGGGGCGCGCGGGTGCGGGGCGGGGCGCGGGCGGGCAGAGCGCGGCGCCTTCCCCGCCCCGCCGCGGCCGCCGCCCGCCCCCTGCCGGTCGGAAGGCGCTCGCCGCGGAGCCCCGGGGACCCCGGCGGCGGCGGCGCCCTCGGAACGCGACGCGGGCCCGGGCGCGGGGAGGCCGGGCCGGCGGCCTCCGCTCGGCCACGCCCCCTCCCGCCCTCCCCGGCCGGGGCTGAGTGACCGCGGGCGGGCGCGTGGCCTCGCTGGGCTTCCCGGGGCGCCGTCCCCACCGCGCACCGTCCCCAGGCGGACGTGCTCAGACCTTGCGGGTTCGGAGACGTGACGGCCCGGGAGGCCCCGCCGGGAGAGGCCCCGGGGAGCCTTGCGCACGGCCCCACCCCAAGCCCGTCCCACGGAAAAGCCGGCCGGCCCCCCTAGCCCTCTTCGCCGGCCCCAGGCCCCCACAGCTTGGTCTGCTTGGGGGTCTGCGTTTGGGGGTTCTTCACCCGTCACCTGGCGCCGCCCCCCACGGCCCTTCTCCTCCGTCCCCTGCTGGATGGGCGGGGGACCAGGCCGGCCTCCGTGGCCCGTGGGCCCGGCCCACCCTCCGCTGTGCCGGCCGGGCTGCCCGGGGCTGACCCCCGGCCCACTGAACCCAGCCCTGGCCCCAGAGGCCTGCAGACGTTGCTCAACCTTGGGTGTTATCTGCTGAGCTGGGGTGACCTCCGCCCCCAAGAACTGGAGAAATGACATCTCCCTGCGCCCTTGGGGCTGGGGGCGGGGAGGGACAGGAGACACTGGCCCGGCCAGCCGCCTCTCCCGGCAGCCTCCGGGCCGGGGAGGAACCAAGGCCCAGAGAGGTGGGACAGCGTCCCCAGGGCCACCCAGCCAGGCCCTCCTTCAAAGTAGGGCTCCTTGGGGCCCCTGGCCCCACTGCCGGTCAGCCATCATTCTCCAAAGGCCTCCGTCTACCTCAGTTTCCCCCATCTGTGCACCATGGGGGCCATTGCCACTCAGGCAGTGGCAGTCCAGGGCCGGTGGCTGCTGCTCTACACCAGCACCCCCAGCCCCCCACCTCTGAGGGCCCCCACCTCCCCCAGTCCCCTACCTCCCCTGGCTCAGCCGCATCGTCCTCTGAGAAGCCCTCCCTGACTGCACAAGGGAAGCCCGGCCGTTTCCTTCACAGCTCTCAGCTCACCCTCCCTCCCCCCCTCCCTCCCTCCCGCCCTCCCCAGGTCTCAGCTGTGGCCTCCTGTCCGCCCGCTGCGGGGAGGGGTCTCTTCATCTCCTGACCTGCACCCCACACCTAGAACAGGGTCCGGCCCACGGAGGTGTCCAGTGAATACCAGCCCTGTGAGTTCAGGAGGGGCCTCTCAGCCCGGCCCTGGGCCCTCAGGCAAGCCCGCCATCCGCCCTGAGCCTCAGCGCCCCCCCCAGCCTTGAGAGCTGTAGGGGTGCTGTGTGTCCCCCACCCTCTCTGAACACGTGGCCTGTTAGCACAAGCTCCTGGCGCTGCGCGCAATGTGATCCTGGGCCTCTGCTTTCCGGATAAGGACACCCAAGGCACGCCGCACCCCATTTTCATGAAGGAAAAGCTGAGGCCTGGGGAGCGGTGACCTGGGACACGCAGCGGGTAGAGGGCGGGCTTTGTTTTTGTCACCGCCCCCGCCAGGGTGGCCTGGTGCCAGCCCTCCTTCCCGTCTCCGCGCAGGGCAGGCCCTGCCCGCTGCCCAGGCCAGCGCCGGCCCAGCCCAGAGGCCTCTGGTCCCTCCTGGCTCCCAGCCAGCATGGGGTCCTCTTTTGGGGTTCGCTCACTTTCTGTAGGGGCTCACTGGGGTTTTCAGTTGACCTCCCAGGGAGAGTGGAACCGGCTGCTTGTCCCTCCCATGTGCTGGAGGGGAAATTGAGGCCCATGCCCCAGAGCCAGGAGTGGCCTCCATGGTGGAGAGGAGGACACCATGGTGGTGGGACCAGAAGTCAGACTGCTGGGGGAACAGGAACTGGAAGCCAGTGGCGGGTTCTTCTGCAGGCTCCTCGCTGCGCCTCTGCGGCTGCTTTGCCCCTCCCGTGGCCCATGTCCCGGGTCTGACGTGGGGGTCAGCTCCCTCATCCCCCCAGATACCCGGCCCTCACCTCATGGGCAAGCTGGGACTGCTGCGGCCTCGAGACTCCCCGAGATCCCAGCAGAATAACTCGGAGCCAGACTTAAAAGCCAGCACCCCGTTCCTGACATCAGAGATTTGCCCACCACACTGCCCCCAGCCTGCGTCCCCACCTCCAAATGTGCTCCACGGGGCGGGATCCCGGCTGCCGGTCTGGCAGAGGGAAACCTGGGGCTGGAAGAGTTAGGGGCAGCGCCGGCAGTGAAAACTTGTCCGGGCCTGTGCTTCCACCGTGTGGCAGGATCTGGAACTGCAGGAGCGGCTCGGCCGCCTCCTTCGGTTAGAGGACCAGGCCCTGGAGGCCAGTGCTGCGGCTGTGACAGATGTTTACGAGCCACAGAGGAGAACAGAAAACGTCCACAGAACAGACAGACGCCGCTCAGCGCTGGTCACGGAGTGGGGCTGTGGCCTGCAGATACTCAGTGAAGGGGGCTGGTCCCTGGCCTCCGCTCAGTGGGTGAAGCCTGCGTCCCCTGTGATTCTGGGAACGGGAGGAGGCGCTCCTGGCCGGAGAGCAGCGCGGGAGGCCTGTGCACGTGACATTTACCTGAACACACAATCGCCTGGGGCCTGTGACCGGAGCCATCCCGGCAGGGGGCAGGGCCAGTGCAAGGGCCCTGGGGTGGGGGCACGACCCGCCCCGCGGCTGCGTGTGGTGTACAGGGAGAGTTGCACAAAATTGGGTCATAGAAACAGTGGGGCCGGCCTCCCAGCAGGCTTTGTGGGCCCCCGTGAAGACTGTCCAGGACGTCGGAGCCACAGAGCTCTGAGCGGAGGAGACAGAACCTGACCGGCCCCGGTGGGACCCTGTGGCTGCCGTGGGGCCCGTGCAGCAGAAGAGATGGGGGCGGGAGGCTGTGGGGGGAGACTCACGGGCGGCCGAGGACAGGGCGCTCAGCTCGAGTGGATGTGGTCCAGTTCTGAATCTGTTTGGAGGTGGGTTGACGCCCACTCTGTGGTCACATACAAGGACAAAGCATGGGGCCTCCAAAGCACACAGAGGAAAATACATCCACACACGAGCCTCCGCTGCCAGGGCCAGAGGCTGAGCCCGGAAATCCAAGGCCAGCCCGAGTGACACAGACCCCACCACGAGTGGCTCACGCCTGTCACCCTAGCTACTCAGGAGGCTGAGATCTGAGGATCCAGGTTTAAAGCCAGCCAGGGCAGGAAAGTCCATGAAACTCTCCCCCCCCGCCCCCCTCCTTGTCGTGGGGCTTGAACTCTGGCCCTGGGCCCTGGTCCTCAGCTCCAGGCTGGCGCTCTACCACTTGATTCACAGAGCCAGCTTTGTCTGTTTTTATGTGGTATGAGGAATTGAACCCAGGGCTTTGTGCTTGTGAGGCAAGCACTCTACCACTGAGCCACCTTCCCAGCCCTGAAACTTTTTTTTTTTTGGTCCGGTCATGGGGTCTGAACTCTGGGCCTGGGCACTGTCCCTCAGCTCTTCAGCTCAAGGCTAGCGCTCTACCACTTGAGCCACAGCGCCACTTCCGGCTTTTTATTTTTTGCTTATGTGGTGCTGAGGAATCGAACCCAGGGCCTCAGGCATGCAAGGCAAGCGCTCTACCACTGAGCCACCTTCCCAGCCCCCAGCCCTAAAACTCTTATCTCCAATAAACCGCCAGAAAACCAGAAGTGGCGCTGTGGCTCAAGTGGCAGAGCGCTCACCTTGAGCTGAAGAGCGCAGGGACGGTGCCCAGGCCCAGAGTTCAAGCCCCACGGCCGACCAATAACCAAACAAACAAAACCAAATAAATGGACCGAGGAGTTGAAAGAGTTTTTTTCTGAGAGGCTGTTATCCCCTGAATGAGGGCCGCGCCGCTGGAGTGAACTGCAGCCCCGCTCCCCCCAGGACAGACACCATGAAACAAACAAAAACAAAAAAATAAGTGTAAGAGCACGTGACGAAGTGGGAGGCCTTGTGCAGCCGCGATGGGACTCCATGCCGTGACTCAGCGAAGCTCCTCATGGCGCTGGGCGTGGTAGCTAACTCCTGTAATCCCAGCCTTGTGGTCCAAGGCTGGCCCTGGGCAAGGGAAAGAAGCCGGACATGAACGGACAAGTACTACCAGCAGCACTTCCATTGGGTCCCTGGGGTCATCCTGCTCACTGGCAGACCTGGGAACTGCCTGGAAGGGGCGGCGGTGGGGAGGGGGGTCTGGGGTGCGGCAGGCTGCACTCCTCAGAGCCTTGCAGCGGGGCGCTCCTCCCTGCTGGTAGCCAGCTCCGCATTCTGGGTGTCAAGTACTCCATAAAGAAGGAAAAGCGGCCAGGCACCAGTGGCTCACACCTGTAATCCCAGCTACTCAGGCAGAGAGCTGAGGACTGAGGATC